ATATTTTGATTAAATTAATTTAATATTTATTTAATGAATTAATATATTTATTTTGATTAAATTAATTTAATATTTATTATAGACAAAAATGTAAAAAAATTAAACTTTTACATTGGTGAAAAATATAGAAATCTAAAATAAAAATCAGACAAGAATGTAGGCAGTGTTTTCTTTTTTTATTTTATATATATTAAGTTAAAACTAAGATCATTTTTTAAACATGTATACGTGTTTCTACTACAAACTGAACATAATAAATTAATCAGAAAATTTAAATTATGTTATTAATTATGTCAATTATAATATAATAATAAAAAGTTTGTATACAATATCTTTATACTTATAATTATCATCGATAAAAGAGAAAAATCTTCTCGAAATAAAAGGATGTTATCAAGGTAAAATTTACTAAGGTATAATATGCATTCTTAATTATACATGTTAACGTTGAACTTGACCATTATATATTTTTGCAAGATCCGCCTCAAAATTGATCTTAAAGATATGGGCCTAAAGAAAATGGGCAAAAGAAAATAAAGATGATCATGCAATAAGAAATATTAGGGACCTTTTAGGTTAAAGTTTCACCCAAGTGGGTCATTAAGCTTGTGTCAGCGAACTCTCTTTGTTAAGTCACCTTCTATATAAATCCCGTGATGCTGATGCTTTTAACTCTTTATTGACTGATACAGCATTTGCAAGACTGGTTCTACAATAGTAAGAGATGAAACCCTTGGTATGTGTCATATAAACTTTCATTAAACCTATTTATATTAGCTTCTTTAGATAATTAATTAAAACTAATTTTTCTAAAGTTAGAATTTAGAAAAATAAATGATTTTTATTTAAATAAAATGTACTAAATATCTTGTTAAAAATAACATTAAGCATTTTCTAATATACATGATTTGGTTTATATATTTTCAAAATATTTATAAAATTTAATAATTATATAGGTTTATATAATATTATTTTTATTTTATATTTCAGATGATATGTTTTGTTTTTATTGTAATGGTAGTAGCATTAGCAATAGCTACTAAACAATCACAATCTGGACAATGGGGTCAAAATTCCAAAGGACGTACAAGAACTGGAGGAGATTTTGGTAATAGAGACCAAGGAAAGAGATTAGATCAGGATAGAAGACGTGATTTTGGAAATAGTGGCAATAAACAACAACAACAACAACAACAACAACAACGTCGACCTTCTTACGGAGATCATAATTGTGACGGAAGAGACGGCCACGGAGCTGGATCTCATGGTAGAGATGACGGTTACTATCCGAGAGAAAGCGAAGACAGAAATCGTGGTAAAGATGATTACAGAACAGGCAATCGCGGTGGCTCTGATGGCCATGGATCAGAATCCGGCAATCGCCGAGGAGGATACGATCGTCATGGATCCGGAGGATCAAAATCTGAAGATTTTGGTGGGTCGAGATCTGGAGGTTACGAGGGATCAAGATCCGGTGGTTACGAAAGATCAGGTTCAGGAAATTATGGAAGATCAGGATATGGAAGTTCTGGATCAGGAGGATCTGGACGGTCTAATAAAGATTATGGTCATTGATAAATCTATTCGTTGCCATAATATACGGTAAATTTTATTATTTGTTTTTTTTTTAAATTTATAAATAATCGAATTAAAATTTTTATACATTATTCATTTATTTATTTTCAGATGCGAAATTGATCGTTGGAATATTTTCATTTTTCTAAAATATGTGTTAATGTATATTAATGTAATCGTTTTTGGTTTACAATCATGAATAAAAATAAATTTTTTAAAAAGAAATTTGTTATTTTTCTCAATTTTTTAAAATGAAAATAATTACGTGAAATAAGTTAAAAAATGTAAAATTTATTAAAATCTTTTATTTTAATTCTTTATTGAACGAAAATACAATATATAAATATTCACTAATTAATGTAATTTTTAAAATTACATTTAACATAAAATTAAGTATAAACTTTTTATTGGATAGGCCTATGTGATGAATATTTATTTTGTTATTTCTACAAAGCTTTCTTAGATATTTCGAGCCTCCCGTCACTACCGACCGTCCTCATTGTTGGCTTGACCGAACCCGTGATGGGCCTGAAAGAAGACTTTCTTAGTGCCCAAGAATCAGAACACAATTTAAAAAATTTTAAAGGAATTAAAAATAAAATTAATTTTTTAATTTACATAATAATAGTTAAATTTTGTTATACATAAATTGTGATTTTTTTTTTAAAAAAAAGTTATATTTCTGTTATAAAAATATTTTAAGAAATTTATTTTTTTATGGAATTTCCGCTTTTGATTTCGTCATTCGAAGAGGGATTTTTTTGCTTTTGTTTTCGGTTTAACCGGATGATAAAAATTAAAATAATTATAAGGTAATGTAGGATTATAAAACAAAAAAATTAAGCTTTTTTTTTTTAATAAGGCTCCAGACAAAACAATTATTTATTTAAAAAAACATTTAAAAATAATAGAAAGAATTTTTTAGAGGTAGTAGCGTAGAGAAGGTTACTTATTTATAAATTTAAAAAAAAAACTGGTTTTATAATTAACGTCAGTTAAAACATTCTATTTTTCTGCCATCTAGTATTTAAAATTTAAATGAATTTATTTTAGATTAATCATTTTTCAAAAATAGATAGAAATTTAAATAGATTTTCTAATTTTTTTCTGTACTTTTGTATAACACAAACTTCTGAACAACGTCCTTTTACTGAAACAAAAAATAATCATTATTCTGAAGCAGTGTCGTAACTAACCATTCTCTGTGCCCTGTGTAATAATTTGCATTTAGGCCCCTTAATTAATTAGGTTTGGGAAAATAATAAAACAAATACATGCATTTTAGAACCCCCTTCTAAGTGGGTTCTGTGCGGATGCACCTGTTGTAACCTGCCTAGTTACGGCACTGTTCTGAAAGTGCACGTTGTTTTGAGTTTACTTTGTCTTCATTTCAAAAAATACCCGAAAAATGGCCGCCATTTAGAAATGGCAGTTGTTGGAGATTCGACTGTATAATATTTGAATCGAATAGGTTATTAAATGATTTAAACTTTTCGTAAATAATACACAACTGCTTATTATATCGACAGGAGAGTCAATTGCTTTCAATATATTAATAATTATTTATTAATTTATAATTGAAATA